AGGTACAAAAGTTCTTCTTTATTCATACCATAGAGAGGACCATAGGGGGGTGGTTCTTCGACGCCGTTTTAGTCTCATTTTAACGGTATCTTGTGGTCGATTCCTGGTCGATACGGTAGCAGTATATTCGCTAGTTGCTTGCTGAAAACGTCAAGCCACTTCCAATACTGGCGGGGGAGTCTCTCTTTGATAGGGACCTTATCTTTCGGCTAAAATATAGCCTTATTGATATCGTCTAGCATAACCTTCCCGATTCGCAGCCTAACCTGTGTCGTTGCTCTGTTGAACAGGCGTTGAATACCCTTTGCTGACAGTCGTTTTACTTCTAGCGTCTTCTTCCCTATAGGTCCGATAGAGCGATTCTTTCGATTCCAGCATCGTATCCTCCTGCGAGACTTCGTATAGATGTCTATGTACCCTTTCCTAGGAGAATACGTTCCGTCCACGTCCTTGACCCATGGTAGGCCGAGGATTATATCGTCTATCTAATCCTCGATAATATACGCGAAGGTAGTACCTTATTAGTGTCTATGGATATCTGCGTCAAAGTAGGTAACGTGGGTGATCCGTCCTTGATTTGCTACCACACCATCCAGTTGTCGTGTGTGTATCTTGATGCGCGGGAGATCGAGAGATTTGACAAGCGTACTGTTTATTGTTGCGTAGCTGAGACAGCCATAATCGACTAGTGCCTCTGCAAACTGAGTTCCATTAACTATAACATTAACTACAAACGGTGGTTCTTCGCTCTTATCCAGTTTCTCGATTCCCTTTCGCTCCTGCTCGCGGCTGAGAGTAGGAGCTATTCTTTTCCCGACTCACTATCACTAGCAGATATAAATTCGTCGTTGCTAGTATCGCTTTCGATGACCGGCTTTACTTTCTTAACGCGGGTATTTCGTTCTGTCTTCTTTTCAGATTCGGTGGTGCTTCGACCTTCTTTCTTAGTCGATCCTGCTGCAATACGATGGTTTTCCGGCCGGAAAGCTGGGAGATAGGGACATTCGGCGACACGGCAACCGTGTCTTCCGCATCGGAAGCATCTTCCACTCTGTCGTCGGTCTTGTATTTCTTCCTCATTGACCCATCGGGCCCTTTTTGGCTGCTTTTCGGCACTGTTTCGTCGGCGCGTCGTACGTGTCTCAGTTCGGTTGACAGAGACAGTTGGGGTCCAATCCATTTCATCCGTATTACTTGCTCTGGCAGTTCGGTAGGGTTTTGTTTCATGGAGCCCTAAGGTATCCTTATCGGTGCTGATCTCGTGTAGGCGATTGATCAGGCCTAGGAAGTCATTTGGGATACCACGACTGAACAATGCCGTCTTCATAGTCGTATTTAGCGAGCTTAGCAATATCTGTTACTTCACCTGATCTGGCCATTCTATAGCACCAGCGTCTGCGAATTCCTTTTCTAGTCGTGGTAGAAACTTGGCGAATAATGTTCCTTCCCCTTGTTTCAACTGTTGTAATCGTCTTCCTACTCTAGCCTGAGCGTTTAGGTCACCATACAGTGTCGCTAGGTGATTCAAAAGGTCCTCTGGACCTGCTATCTCTCATCAGTATTCCATATAGGTAACAGTGTTCTTTAAAGCCATCTTTTCCAGCCGGGAAAATACATATAGGAACTGTTCTTTCCTTGATCCGATAGCTTCGCCATCAACTATCAACTTATTTACCATTGCTGCCTTCCAGGTTGGCCATTCTGATATACCTCCAGCGTACATTAGGGGGTCAGGAAATCGCGTACGTAGTCGGCGAGAGGGCTCAGCCTGGATCGGTAGTGCTGGCGGGGATGATCTCTCGGCTAAAAAATCGGGTCCTTTCTCCAGATCTTCAGGCTCTTTTCGTATATTCCCCTTAGTAGCTTTTGCCAAGGCTGCCTCAAGTCGTTCCATACGCTCTTCCTGCTGTGTAATAGCTTAGTGATATAACGTTTGCATATGTATTAGTTGCTGTATGATCGCATCCAGTGGGTTTTGTTGTTGCGGTTCCTCCCGAGGGGGATCCATGTCTATCCTGGTATTCATCATTGAATTAATAATATAGTCTGCACGGATAATTCTTTCGCTTATTGTGCCTAGGAATGTTCTCTTCTAGGACTTTCGCTTCGTGTTTGAATCGGTATCGAATAGATAGTGATTCAGGGATACGTTCTTCGTATACCTAAGACTTTTTAGGACTTTCGCTTTCGTAGTTAAATCGGTATCGAATAGAGAGTGATTCAGGGGTACGTTCTTCGTATACCTAAGACTTTTAGGGCTTTCGCTTTCGTGGTTGAATCAGTATCAAATTAATGGTGATTCAGGGGTACGTTCTTCGTGTGCTTCGTATGCCTAGGACCTCTAGGACTTCGCGGATAATTTTACGATTACCGATCGAATCAGAAGATTATTGTATATGAAGGGCTGTAGCGACAACTGTTCAATTAGGGCTAGGCCTGCATGCTGTTTACAATAATCTTGAAGAAGAGTATCTATGTAAGCCTCTACCTGGTTTTCCTGCAGGAAAAGGTCACGTGACACAACGTGATATCTCCACGGGCCTGGGCCCGTTACACTTACAGGCTTATTCTAGATCTTCTAGAGCTAAATTAGTCTTGTCTTAGACCATAGCCAGTTTCTCTTAGTTATAGGCTATCTCCTCCCAGTGTTTCTTATAATCTCTAGTCTAGAATTTAAGCTTCTTAAGGATAGCGTTATATATAAACTTAGGGTTATCCTTTACCCAGATTATAAGGTCTTTTATATTATTTATCTTATAGACCTTATTCTCGTCCTTCTTATTGTAGAAGACTAGCTAGGGTTATAATCTATAGGTTACAGATTGTATAGGTTTATTTAAGGGACTAGCTTCAGTAGGACCGGCTATAGGTTCTTCTCTAGGTTAAGATATCTTATTAGTTCAGAAGGTTTAGTTAGTTTAGGGAAATTCTAGGTACTCTCGCTGTCAGTAGTACTTCTAGAAAGGTATACTTACTCAGACGAGAGATAAGAGATAGTGAGTCCTGCTGTCGGTTACGATATGTCGGAACGCATTAAAATAGCCTAGTTAGGACGAAAAATGGTTTGAATAGGTGAAATAACACTTAGTATTATGTAATAGAGGCCTGGTTACGAGAAACAAGTATATTGAATATACGATATTAAGTATGGAGAAGAGATAAAAACAGTAGGTGAGGTCTTGCAGATAGGCTGCGAGGATCGCACTAGGCCCAAAAGGGAAGTAGGCCTGATCCAGAGTGTTACAGAACATGGAACATACTCGAAATCAGTCCTCCTCCGCTACTCCTCTAGGAAACCATTTAACAGACCTTGGATGACCTCAAAATAATCAGAGCTGCAAGCACGGTGAGTTATAAAGTGCCTTCATAAGCTGTCTACTGATGATTAATGGTAGATCGAAGTCGTCCCTTATGCAGCCGCTTTGACCTTGCTAGAATGCAGCGAGCAGCAGCAGCTGACAGCGTAAGTTTCATTATTGCGGCAGTTTTGAGAGTAGTCATCCCATGCTGACAGCTCACTGTATAGGAAGTCGAACTTTCGATCACGAGTCACTCAATGTCATGTAAGTTGCCCTATGCATTTCCACCGCCTATACCCAACGCCCGGGACTGCATTTTGAACATCAGTTTGGAGTCTATCTGTTTGTGGCTCTATGTTCTTCAGAAAATATCTCTGATGTCTCTTTCTCGTCATAGGGCGAATGTCAATACTGTACTCGACATGACCGAGCTGTATTCCCCAATCGTCCTTGATATAAGCCAGGTGTACTGGCCTGATGGGTCAAGCCACTGGCTCCCAGTATGCTTGCACCTTCGTTGTTTCTAAAGACTTGGTTGAAGCGACCACTTCGCCTGGCGTATTTAGCGGGCCCAATTCAGAAAGGCTTGATACTCTGGTTAGCATACGGTAACATTCCAAGGTGGTTTCATCTCTCCAGCATTACCCTGTCCGATCGAAGGTTAACTGTCACTGTGATAGGAGGTTTCCGTGTTCCGGCGGCTCTGCACCTCTTGTCCCATGTCTGATTAGAAGCCTCGAGGACGGCATGATCCGGTCTCATACTAGACTGAGTGAGCCATCGCAGCATCCGACGACAACGAAGAGAAGTCTAGCATCAACGGCCACCCTAGAGAGACCACGGCTTTTATACAAGCAGAATCATCCAGTGATGCATCGAATTACCGACCACGAGCTGAGGGCCAGCTCTGTCAAGCCCCAGTTTCAGCTGAGCAAGCGACAAACCAGGCAGCGGCACTGGGTCTACTCTAGATCTCTCACCGCGAGAGCAGTCGTTTCAGGTCGGTTCTTAGTTTGCCCTAGACCAGATACCATTAACATTTCCTCCAGTGATACTTTGTCCTGACTTTGTCCTGACATGGCTGAAGATTTACCTGTCAAACGAACAGCAAAGACGAAGCGCGGGTCTGGAGAAATATATATTGTACGTATTCGTTCACCATACAGCGACTTATCTTAAGGCGGTCTATCCTACTAACAGACACACCATAGCACCAAAGATTTCGCGACAAAGCTCGAACCGAAAGAAAACCACACAGAAGGGCAACCGAAGTACATATAAGCATACACTTTACCATATACATTACCATAGTTTTTGAATTGGCAACCCAAGTTGACTATACCATCACACAACCCCTAGCTAATAATCGAGTTGCTTTAGAAGTGAGAGTACGTTTAAAGCGTATTGAATAAGCTGAACCTTGCTGTACTACAAGTTGAAGCTGATGGACAGCATCATTTCGCACTGTATCTTTGAATTATCAGTGAGGGAACGAAGATCTGCGCTATGATGGATCAGAAATTTATTTTCTCTGAAAGTAATATGCCAAAACCTAATGCATTGCCTCCCCCCCCCCGGGGGGAAAATTTCCTTCACCATGGAATAGAGGTTCAACATATTGGAATGCGAAGGGTCAATAACGAAGCAACATACAATATGAATCGGTTGTATTTAATGTATTACCGTCAGTGACTCCCCATCTTAATTCCAATCACCATCAAACACAATTGGATCTCCGCTCTCCATCATCTCGAGCAGCTGATCGATATTCCAAGGACGGTACTTATAGCCAGGCGGAATATTAGTATTTCCAAAGGCGGCGCTACAGAGCAATTTCTGGCACGCATTGGCATAGTTGTCATTGGCATAATCCTCAGCGTCATGCTCCCAGATCCATCTGCCGAGTTTTGGTTTTACAGATTCGGGATGGCTGGCCAGAAGGTCCCAGTGTGCATTCTCTCGATTTGCCTGGTTTTGAAATCCAGTTATCTGTGCACATGAGACACGCTCGAATCTACTTTAGTCAGTGCCTCTGTAGTAGAGAACAAAATTGACCGTGGCTAAAGATTAACAACGCCAAAAAACATACCTAAGGAGATTATGCACCCTGACCGCCGTGGGGATATCCTGTTGTCCAGCAATCTTCAAACAGCATGCCAGAGAGACAGCATCTTCAATAGCCTGGTTAGCACCATTTCCGGAGCTAGGTACGAAGGTATGTGCAGCATCTCCAAGCTGGACAACACGACCCAGGGGTGAGGTCCATGTTGGATTAGGATCTCTCCACATTATCTTAAAATCCAGCAGGGTATCAGCTGGCGTGATTTCGATCATTCTTTTGAGTATATCAGGACAATTTCCCCAGGCATTCTCAATGGCTTTTATGGCATCTGCAGGTTGGCATGGGGTCGATGTAGAATGCCAAGATTCACTTGACATTCCGTTATCCTGGGTGGATCAGCTCAAAATCCAAGTTTGCTAATTTCTTGAACGTACCCTATGAGTCATGGCCCACGAGAAAGTTTCTGTATTCCTCGTCGTGATAAGATGTAGTTTAGGGCTGATTTGCATATCTGTCAGTCCCAAGGTCGTCGATTTCAGACGACCGAAGATATAGTTACTTACCCTATCCACATCTCACTCGCGCCTCCTTCGCCGTCGTAGAGCCTGAAATGCTCACTGAGGATAAGATCCGTATCAAGGACCTCGACAGGATACGCACATCTGTAAACAGCAGATCCACTACTCCGAGCTCGCAAAGTATGCCCAAGGACCATTTGACCTGACTTCGTTCCAATTCCGTCAGCTGCGATGACAACCCCCGCCTCTAGTCTGGAGCCATCATCAAGAATGACAAATCCCTTGTCTAAAGTCTCCTCATAGCCAGTGACGCAGCTGCCATACTCTATGGACAATCCGATCCGTTGAAGCTGCCTCAGTAAGACTTGTTGGAGCTTGGGGCGAAGGTGTCGCCACGTGTCAAGTTCTGCCTCAACTGTAACTCCCATTTCGTCCGTTGTCTGCGAGGTTATGCGTTCATGGGAGAGAAGACTCGTTCCATCACACTGAAAGCAGGAAAACGAAGGTCGACAGGCTGCTTTCTCATGTTCCGCCTTCATCTGTGGCCAATGCTTGAACGCCTTGCATGCGGCGGGATTTAAAGTAAAGAAGTCCCCTGGAGAAAGCAGGATGTCATTAGCCAAGAAACCAAAAATATTGAAGATGGTAACAAATAATTTATTCTTTACCATTTGTTTCGGGGCCCTTCGTCTTATCGAGAATGCGGACCTTGTGGCCGTTGCGCCAACATTCTAACGCAGCCCATAGACCCCCGATGCCAGCACCTACGATAATTACCTCAATACCAGTATCTTGCATCTTCTCAACCACCGTAAAACTAGTCAACACCTTTTCTGCCATCTTGAATATGCTGAGCCACTTTATGTGCAGTCTTGACTTCTAAAAAGGAGTAATAACCGTGGGCAAGATATTTAAGCTTGATGGATGTCGACAAGTCTTTTGAAAACTTGCAATACTGGTACGCTTTATATAGTACGGTCTCTCGACCTAGTACGAAAGAAGATCAGCATGAGAAATCAAATAAAAATCTCGGGTTGATGGAATGAAACTGTTCCGACCATCTGGCCGTATACAGTATACAAATCGCCATCACCACATTATTGGTCGCGTATTTTGTGCTTTTAAATCCCGTGGCTGAGTGTAACATCGAGCACCCAAAAGAGCCCCTCGCAAAGCGGGGTAATCTTACTGTAAAAGCAGGGTAAGTACTTCGGTTTGAAATCTCACCATCAGCATTCATGGAGGGTCAATATCTGTGCCCTAAAATGGTCAAAAAAGCGACCACTAGACTGCAAGCGGGATTGGCGTCGCAGCGTCGTAGAAAAGAGAAACTCTAACTATCATGCAATTCCTGTCGTCATCCAAAAATTTTGCTGCCTATTTCGACCTAAATTACGTCGCTGACGCTGCTGCCATATGGTAAAGTGTAAGCCAAGCCAGACCAGTGCGAGGTGTGTCCGAAGTGATGAGGCTGCCGATTCGGTTCACTCGAACTTTTAATCCGTCAAAAACTGCGCCGAAAAATTCACGTTGTCGTGACTGGCCGCACCGTGGTCTCATGCGCTTATCACATGTACGCAGGTCTCGAGAAAGCTCCCAGACTAATGAGCCATCAACAATTAAAGTGATAGATGGGATGGCAGTATATATGAACGAGATGAACTATGTAAATGCTGGTCATGGGACCAATTTCGCCGATAATGTGAGGTATTATCACGGGATACTTTTCGAAAACCCTAATTAATATGCTGCTAAAGCTGTCAAAGAACCATGGCTGTATCGCGGTCCAACCAGGGTCTTCTTTATCCCCTGAAAAGGAGGCAGTGCTAAATCTGCTGCAGGGCTTTCATGGTGGACTAACTCAAAGAGACATTTTTGCCTGCGTCCCATCGAAAGCAGAGACGGAAGTTCTTCTCGCCATCTACTTCGCGTCAGAGGATGCATCAGCCCATAAGTACAGTCGTTGGTGACTGGAAATAAGCCAATTAGCACGTTTCGGTAAATATGCCACGCACTCGCTAGCTGGTCACAGTGAGCCCAGTCGCTCCATTTTGGGCCCGCCCCTAACCCAAGGGACCTGGAGCTTTGGGGCCCAAAGCTCAGCGGTGAAGAAGGCTTATATATGGGCAGTATTTGGACCCACCGACCCCAAAGCCCTCTTTTTTCCTGACCCTAAAGCCCAGAATTTCCCTCGTACGATTTATCTTAAACTTTCACAAGTTCTAATCTTATATATATATTATCTCTAATTTTATTCTTAGCCTCTGTAGTCTTCTGTAGCAGTTGTACGACCTAACCCTAAATTACCCAAAACCCTCTATCCCAAAAGGGTTGGTACAGTCAGGCTGACTGCACGGCGGTAAGTTATTCTTAAGTATAGGCAGAATTCGCCCCACCACCCTAACTGCAAGTAATTTTACCTACCCTGACTGCAAGCAATTTCCTTCGTATGATTAACCTTAGATTTTCAGAAGTTCTAAGTTTATTTATAATCTATACGCAGTTTGATTTTTAGTAACTACCGTCCTCTGTAGCAATCGTACAACTCAACCCTAAATAGCTTAAAACCCTTAAAATCTTTTGATAGGGTGCGACCGGGAGGGTCTACTTCTTAGTTTTAGACCTACTTCAAACTTTTGTAATAGAGCTTATATTTACGTACAACCCCTGAATATATATTATTACTTTCTGTATTACTTCCTAGTACTTTGTCACTATTTCTTAATTTTAACACTTTACTATAGAAACCAATATCCCTACCCTTATACAGGAGCTTTTTACTCCTCTCTATACTTTACCTATTCTTATCTGCTATAAGTATTAATCTGCCGTACGACTCAGCTAAGTTATAGCTTATTTAACCTCCTCTATACATAAGATTCTGGCCAGAATCGCTTCTCAGATCTAAGAATCTCTCTCTATACTCTAGCCTTAGCTACTTACTACCTTTACATCTGATTTAATCTCTTATCAACCACTATCTTTTAATCTTCTTCCTCTTTATTATAACGGTATTTAATATCAGTATACTTACAGCTGTTACTATATCTGTCGTACGACTAAGGCGATAAAAGAATACTGGCGGATTTACTACTAATAGCTTACCTAAGCTTCTTCTTAACCTAGTAATTATACGATTCCTATATCTGAACTTCTTCAGAAATATACTTATTTAGTTACCTACCAACGTCTCTATCGCCAAGGGCCTAACTCCTACTATTTTGCAGTAACAAAATCCGTACGATCAGAATCCGAGGAGCCAGAATTAGTATCCTCTACTATTGATTATCTCTTTAATCAGCTAGAACAGCAACACCAGCAGATCTTTTAACCGTCTAATCGTACGGTAGAGACGGTCAAGATTAATAAGGCTACCCTATAGCTTCGTCGGACGAGATAGACTCAATATCTGGCCGGTTAACTCCTAGACGCCCTATACGCTTTAATCGAGCTACCAGCATCTAATTCCCTAGATCCTCTCTGGGTAATCTACTAAGCTATAGATCGTATAGCTCGTACAAGCCAGCAGATTACTAAACAATGTAGCTATCTGATCTATATCGAGGTTATCCGAACAGAGACTGATTAAGCACCCCGGCAGCCGCTCTAGGCCTATATAGACTCTAAAACGATTATCCGTTATCTAACGCTATAGCAGCAGATAATCTGCTTCTTTGCTCGTACGTAACAGCCAACAGAGCCTTTATACCCTGCTTTTCTCTATTACCGGTTTAACCGTCGGTAACGTAAGGCATAGGAAACCCTCTGGGCCTTAGCTATATCCTCTTAATCGTAGTCTTAATCTTCTAATCCGTATATAAGTAATTATAATCGTACGAGCCCTGCCTCTACCCCTTCCCCCCTCTCTATTTTACTTTTGGCTACTAGAGAAGACCTACCTAGGCTTTTACCTAGAGCTCCTTAACCAGTAAGTAGGTACAGATAAGTATAAATATACTCTAGTCTGTGCTCTTGCTGTATTAGGTTGCTCTTGTACAGGCTGGCATACCCTAGACTCTTTTACCCTAATCCTCTTGTAGATTATTAAGCTTACTCGTTTTATAGTCCTAGGCCAGGCGCTCTGGCTAGATCTATATACGGACCAGATCGTACGATATTTCTAGGGCAACTATACCTGCTATAACTTTGATCTGGTTAGCCTACTGGATAACCCTGAGTATTATCTCTTATATAAGGATGAAGAATATCAGAGTCCCTCCCTACTAGTTGTTCTCTCTTCCCCTAACTCCTTCTCTCCCCTACCTCTCCTCTTTAGCTAGCACTATCGTACGACCAAAACCTTCTAGGAATAGATCTATCTGATTATAAAGAGCTTTATGCTCTGGAGCACCAACTCTCTATTCTAGTAGATCTTAGACCTTTGTACGTACGGTATAAAGGTTAGCTTCAGCACGACTTAACCAGAGTATATCGGCTGGGTAGGCACTAATCGGCTTCTGTATAAACAGCTAAGCTTTACAATAGGTAATCTATATAGCTGGATCTATAGCCTAGTACAGACGTACGAGGATCTACTCTTGTCTAATCTACTTCTTCTCTCCTTAGCCACTAAAGCCCTATTAGTCCCCTAGGCTACGATTACCGACGATCCCTCAGAGATAAAGCCTGGCTAGAGCTTTTTATATAACTCTTGTACGAATTAGCCAGTTAGTAGTAATCAGTAGTTGATTTACTGCCTTTGCTCTAATCCTTAGCTCCGGTAGTAGTTTCTGGATACTAATTATACCTACTTTTGTACAAGTATAATTAAGCAATATCTAACCTAGGTAAGCCTCTTCTGGAAGAAACTGGCCGTATTAATCTATCTCTATAGCAGCTAACCGGCGTAAGCCCCCGAGATCCTCTCTGTCCGATATTGTAATACTACCAACGCCTATCGTAATATATTTATTGAGAATAGTTAGGTAGTAATTACTACCCGATATTATAAAGGTTTCTACGTAAGCAACGACCCTAAGATTATCCATCGATATCTTCTGTATGCAGTTAGTACCCTCCTTATACAATATCTCTGGTTAGTTTTACCGTTAGTAGAGTAATTTAATACCTTAACCCTTCTGGTAGATAAGCAGCCTACTACTGCTCGTACGGCGTTACTCTAGGGGCCAGATCCTCTGAGCTAGCAGCCGTAGACCTCGGATCGGCTTCGGGAGGTGCTCTAGTATAAATCTTAGCTAGGGCTACAGAGGCAGATTATAAATATTACCTCCTAGCGGTATATTATAATTACTCTTAGTCGCTGATTTCTTCGTACGAATAGTGCTTTTCCCTAGAATACTAATAATGAAGGAGAAATAGATAAGACTGTAGATAATAAGGTGAATCTAGAGCAGAGCTTCCAGGATCTGCAGGCAGGACATTCCTCCTATATTACAGGGATAACGTACGCCCGTTAGATTCATAATGCCCCGGGCACGATAGGTTTTCGTCGTACAATGTTTCGCTATATTAGCCAGGATTAGCACTAGTTTCTTAGCTTTGTTAATCCTGAGACTACTGCTGTATAAAGGGAATAAGAAACGAAAATATACCCCCCTAGGAGAATAAACAGCAGAAGTACCAGATTAGCCGCTGATATAAACTAGCTACCTATAATCTGCAGGATGCTTTGCAGAATTTCTTAGGTAATCCCTCCGTACGATTCTAGGGAAAGCAGTTAGAGGTATTACAGGCTATCTAGTATAGATATAGCCTAATTATAGCTGTAATGCCAACAGGCAGAGAAAAGAGTCTTCTCTTTTAGCTCCCTACCTAGATCTCTAAGGGTCTAATAGTAGTAGTAGTCCCTTTAGTAGCCCTTTACAAAGAGCTCTTTAATC